GATGAAGTTATACCTGTCATTATAGGAGATACATCAGGTAAATTAATTTCTAGGGAATTGAATCTCCCTTTCATGAACATAATCCTCAAGATTGCTGGACTGGGGGTAGAAATTTACCTGTACTTCTAATAACATGACTGTCGAGGAAAAGATGATACCATGTTTAACCATGATTACAAGGCAAAGTTTGAAACAAAACATCTTACCATCAGTCACTCATTCTTTATCTGTAAGATGAGGATAAGAGTACACACCTTATAGATTTTCATGAAGATTAAAAGAGAAATTACATATAGAGTCCTCAATGATAATTTGCTATTTCTTGAAATAATAGGTCAAATGATGATTTTTGTACGTTGAATATCAAGAGACAGCTATGTATCATGGGAGGAAAGATTATTTTAATTCAGTTTGAAGGCAAATGCACTATAAAGGTAAGTATATTTCTTTTATGTCATAGTTGAAAGTGAAACTGGAAGTTGCTAACTTGTGTCCAACTCTTTGTGACCCCATGGACTACACAGTCCATGGAATTCTCCAGGTCAGAATACTGAGGTGGGTAGCCTTTCCTTTTTCCAGGGGATCTTCCCAACCCAGGGATCGAATGTACCAGTTGCTGCTTTAAATGTTTTACAAGTAAGAACTCATAACAAACCTATGCATAAAGTATTTTTTTTTTTCAAATTGTATAGGACATAGAACTAAGGCACTGGGAATAACCTCTGTAAGAAGGAGAGCCAGCAGACAAACCCCAGCTGGTGCCCAGAACACAGTGAAACCCCACACTCCGCCACTCTCTCTTTTAAGTGTTACAAAACTTCCACTTTTACCTGACAGACTATGTCATTTAAGTATCATATGTCATGTATATATGTATGCATGCCTTTCTATAAAAGTACTGCATCATTCAAATTCTTTGAATAAGTCTATATTCAAAGCAAATAACTATAAAAGCATGATGATACTTCATTTCCTTTTAAGGCGAAAACAGATATCATCAGTTATCTCATTGTTTCCCGTTAGGCATATTTTTCCCCAAACAGAATTAAATTTGCATTTTAAAGACTCACCTTATCAAAAGTATATTTAAGATTAACCACCTCAAGCTAAACTTGGTTGGTAGTTTACTGTTCTAGGTGCTGTTTTAGTGATTATTTTTTAAATAACTTGTTTTATTTTTAAATACATAAATAGCACCAACTTTTCTGGGTGGTCAATATTAAACTTCCTGAATAGATTTAGGTTGATCCAGTATCTGAATTATTTTCTCTTACTCTGGTTTAACCTAGACTTTCTCTAAGTTTGTGGATTTAGTGAGAATTTTAAAAATTTAAAAAATATATGTATGTCTCTAAAAATCAGAAGAGGAAAAAAATTCAACTTCTCTTTCTCTTCCTATTTCCCTTCAGTCAGTCAGTTCAGTCATTCAGTCATGTCTGACTCTTTGCGACCCCCTGGACTGCAGATGCCAGGCCTCCCTGTCCATCACCAACTCCTGGAGCTTACTCAAACTCAAGTTTATTGAGTTGGTGATGCCATCCAACCATCTCATCTTCTGTTATCCCCTTCTCCTCCTACTTTCAATCTTTCCCAGCATCTGGGTCTTTTCCAATGAGTCACTTCTTCGCATCAGGTGGCCAAATATGGAGTTTCAGCTTCAGCATCAGTCCTTCCAGTGATATTCAGGACTTATCTCCTTTAGGATGGACTGGTTGGATCTCCTTACAGTCCAAGGAACTCTCAAGAGTCTCCTCCAACACCACAGTTCAAAGCCATCAATTCTTTGGGCTCAGCTTTCTTTTGGAGAAGGAAATGGCAACCCTCTCCAGTATTCTTGCCTTGAGAATCCCGTGGACAGAGGAGCCTGGTAGGCTGCTGTCCATAGGGTCGTGTAGAGTTGGACACGACTGAAGCGACTTGGCAGCAGTAGCAGCAGCAGCAGTTTTCTTTATAGTCCAACTCTCACATCCATACATGACTACTGGAAAAACCACAGCTTTGATTAGATGGAACTTTGTTGGCAAAATAATGCCTTTGCTTTTTAATATGCTGTCTAGTTTGGTCATAACTTTTCTTCCAAGGAGCAAGCATCTTTTAATTTCATGCCTGCAGTCACCATCTGCAGTGATTTTTGGAGTCCCCAGAAATAAAGTCTGTCACTGTTTCCATTGTTTCCTCATCTATTTGCCATGAAGTGATGGGAGAAGATACTATGATCTTAGTTTTCTGAATGTTGAGTTTTAAGCCAACTTTTTCACTCTCCTCTTTCACCTTCATCAAGAGGCTCTTTAGTTGTTCACTTTCTGCCATAAGCATGGTGTCATCTGCATATCTGAGGTTATTGATGTTTCTCCCTGCAATCTTGATTCCAGCTTGTGCTTCAGGCAGCTCAGCATTTCTCATACTGTACTCTGCATATAAGTTAAATAAGCAGGGTGACAATATACAGCCTTGACGTACTCCTTTCCCAATTTGGAACCAGTCTGTTGCTCCTTGTCCAGTTCTAATTGTTGCTTCCTGACCTGCATACAGATTCTCAGGAGGCAGGTCAGGTGGTCTGGTATTCCCATCTCTAAGAATTTTCACAGTTTGTTGTGATCCACTGTTTAGTTCTGTTCATTTCCCTTCAAGAACACTTTAAAGATTTAAACAAATCGTATTACAAATTTAGAATTAAAATATTTGTAAGACAGAAGCAAAATATTAGCTGCCTGTTTTGAGTGCTTTCTTGGTATCAGATCCATAATCACCTTTAAACCTTACACTGTTTTCTGTGCTTAGTATTGTTATCATTGTTACTCAGTCACTCAGTCATGTCTCACTCTTTGTGACCCCATGGACTGCAGGATGCCGGGCTTCCCAGTCCTTTTCCATCTCCCAGAGCTTGCTAAAACTCAGTATCATTAGCCCTATTTTACTTTTAAGAAATCAGCACAACTAAGCCTCAGGAATACCTGTTAGCTTGCTCAAGTGCATACAGCTCCAGAGAAGGGATATAGATATGTCTGTTTCTGTACCTGACTGCTTGCAAAATCCAGCCTACTGCCTGCCAAAGAGTTGTTTGACACCCACCTCCTACATTGTACTTATGAAAAGGCCTCTTGAGATGGAAGCAAGGCCTCTGTTGTTTTAACTCTTGTTCCCTCATGAGTAAAAAGCCAAGATAGACGTGGGTATCTGTAAAACATTCAGGCTAAGAGAGTGCTATAGTTTCATTAAGTTTGCCAAGTATGATGAAAAAGAGAAAGAAAAAAATAAGCAAAAATTTCAGTTGTCAATCTCTCTCAGTTGCAGAGTCATGTCCAACTCTTTGTGACCCCATGGACTGCAGCATGCCATGCTTTCCTGTCCATCACCAGCTCCTGGAGATTGCTCAAATTCATACGTGTCCATCAAGTCTCTGATGCCATTTGTCAACAAGTTGACTCAATAAAAGATACACTGCTAAATCTAGTGCTTAATTTTATATAAAACCTATTGTATTAATTTTATATTATTTAGAGGTTTTATATATATATATATGTATTATTTTAATGGTTTTGAGGTTATATATAGTAGTTAATTATTGCTTAAAACTAGTTTTATAAAGTTATCCACAGGAAAGCATGCATTCATATGCTCTCAATCACATCATTTGAACTAAAATTATTCTTTTTCTTCTTACTAATATTAAAGTAGAAAAGTGAAATGTCCCATTTGCCATATATTGTATTCAATATGGTTTGCAGAAAATAATTTTCCACAGTCTGCCAAAGAAATCTACACCTGCACAAAGATCACAACCTTAGTCATAATTAACCTATGGAAAAGAAATTAAATAGACAAGTGATAGTGGTACTGAGGAGATTAAAAGAAACATCCTCTATTGTATTTCTCAGAGAATATTAGATTAAAATTCAAATTCTTTCTAGTGACAGATTGTTAGAAGAATAAGAAATGGCACAAACAATCCATTTCAGGACAAAGATTTAACAAAAATAGGAAGGTTAATTATAATTGAATATTCCCTATGGATATCTCATAAGATATGCCTCAGTCTATTTCTTATTGACAGGTGGTACTGTAAATTAAATGTGGTATTATGCATTCAAATTGGATTTCAACTACTCATCATCCATAGTGTAACATTAGAATTAGCCCTGATGATGACAGCCTAAAGATCATAATGAGAACAGGTGCCCTTTTCCATTCATATTGTAGTGGAGAAGGTCGGAGTTAGAGATTGGATTTATAATTTTGTTATAATCTTTGCTGCCTGAAAAATTCATTCTATGTATCAACTATCAAGAATATTAATACTGGGCTGAATAGTCTCTGAACTAATGACAAAGACCACTTGTCTTCTACAAGTATTGTGCCAAATTAAAAAAAAATGGCATTCAAAATCCTGTCATCAATCACTGTTTATATTAACAGGAGGATGTTTTTGTGTTCTTCAGAGCCTCCTGAAGAAACAAAACAAACCAAAAACAGCAACACTGAGGCACCTGTTAAACAAGATAATCCTAAAAAAAAAAAAATAGTGGAAAGAGAGGAGGAGTAGGGAGAAGAAATGGATGAAGGGTTTGTGTCTCTGATAATAGTCACGAGTAATTTCAATCATGTGAATCAGTGCTTCTCATTCAGAGATAATCTGCAGAAATCTGCTGTGGAATTCTATGAAGGTATTTATATACCTGGACATGCAAATGCTCAAATCATTCGCTGTGTAATTCTGATGCATTGCTTGCCTCATGATCCTATGTATTATTTCTCAAAGCAAGAGTTGTGCATTATCTGCATTAGAAAAAGCACTGAGAGCAGTAAAAGGGGATGCTTGTTGAAAACTATGGTTCCTACTAATTCAGATTCTCTGGAAGTGAGGCCTGTGAGGTTTTACTTTTTAACACCATCTGCAGGTGAGCCTGATGATTCTCAATCATCTGTGGCATCTTGGCCATGCACTCTGATGAGCTGCTCCCTGGCCTGATGCTTCTGCTCTTCGGCCAACTGCTATCCTTATGGAGTATGAGAATCTCTGGAGCGAGGCTGCAGAATTACTGCTTGGCAACTCGGTCATTATGGCAATCTCAAAATCCAGGTAAGAAAGATTAAAGTAGGGGTGTCACATGATGAGTTACTCTGGTTGTTTTGTTTGTGAAATTAATATATTATTCCTTCTGTTAAACAATATCTTTATATGACAGGACCGTGGCATTTTCAAGCCACAGTCTCATCAGATATTTCAGAGGTTTCTGGTTAGTCATTAAGACTAACAACCAAGATTGATTTCGTTTAAAATTATTGCTAGTTACCATGTATGAAGATTGAAGAAAAACAGTTGGCACATAATGCTAGATATCTGAACACAAATATAACTCATAACAAGTAGTTTCAATAAAACAAATGTCCATTTTGTTTTAATTTGTCTCCAAACAATTGCCTAAAATTTAAACTGCAAGAAACAGTGATTATAATAGCATCTGGTAGATTTTCTATCTCAACAGAGTATTTTTTTTAAATAGCTGAATGTAATTATTCATGACATTTGGGATTATTGAACACAAATACAAGAAAGGGAATGAAATGCTAAGCCTTCCTGGGGATAAAAATTATTGTATATCTTTATTATAACTCCTAATTTAATTATGTATTCTTAATGCCATCTGGTGAGATTATCTTAAAAGTTAACAAAAGAGATCAATCTGACACTTAACAAATAAATCTGAAAGAGTATAACACTGGGACATTGATATTATGCAATCAATATAACTAGAATAATGTGAAAAATAATAAAAGAAGGAAACCATCTTAGCTCTAGTGCACATTCATTATCATTGTGGGATGAAGAGTGACTCTTATTATTCTCTCACTCGTGACATTAGGTATAATAATGTGTGTGCATGTTAGTCGCTCAGTTGTGTCTGATTCTTTGTGACCCCATAGACTGTAGTCCGCCAGGCTCCTCTGACCATGGAATTCTTCAGTCAAGAACACTGGAGTGTTCTATTTCTTTCTCTAGGGGGTCTTCCCAATCCAGAGATTGAACCCCATTCTCTTGCATTGCAGACAGTTTCTTTACCTGCGAAGCCACCAGGGAAACCCCAAATAATAATCACATATTTAAATAAAAATGATACATGTACCTGTTACAAATGGTAGAAGGTAGGAATGTGTAGTCAGGAACAACACAAATCTGGAGTTAAATACTGAAGGTCTCCATCTCTTTACCAGTTGTCAGAAGTGTGTAAGTTGTTTAACCTCTCTGGACTTTGGAGTCCTCATTTGAAAGATCCATATAATGCATTTAGAAAAGTACTGGGTGTATAGCACTATATATATTTTTATATACCATGCATAATTTCTTTAAGCATACAAACAACATGACTTAAAATCAGAAAATGCCTTCAGATTCCTTTTCTGTCATGGAGGCAAATCACTTAATTTTTTAACACTAATAAAATTTAGTAAATTTTCAATAACTTATTTGAAATATAAGGTATTATTTTACAAGTTTATTATTAGGATTAAATAAAATTACCTTTCTTGCCTGGAAAGTTCCATAGAACAGAGGAACCTTGCGGGCTACAGTCCATCGGGTCACAAAGGGTCAGACATGACTGAGCACAGACACAAAACTAGCTTTGCTCATGTCGCCATCAAGTTTCTGATGACTATTAGGTGTCTGATGAGTTTCTTCTTTAAGTCTCAATTTGATATAGAATTCTAGCCATGACCAGAGGGCAAAGAATATAGATTTCAAATTCTGTAGGTAACTCTGAATGTGTTTTCATAATGAGTACCATTTGGTATGGGAAATAAAAAAGTCTCTTTTCTTAGCTCTGTAATCTGACATCTGAGATCAGCATAGGAATTTAACCCATATGTTTAGCTAATTCAGTCTATTTCTTTGAGTTTGTTTCGAAGGCCAGCCTAGTCTTTAATAAATATAAGGTGCACACATTTGGATATGTCAAAAGAACTGATGTATTCTAGGGTTCTGAGCAATCAATCCTATCTGGAAAAGAAGTTAGGCTGTTTCTCTGTTCTTGTGCACCTGAAGCTGTGAGGTGTTAGGGGATGTTAAAGTACTACAATTAGCAACCTCAATTATTCATATTGTATACCATTCTAAACACTATTAATTTTTTTTAAGTATTATGGAAAATTCCTCTAAATACTATTCAAGAAAAGTGTTTTGCTCTTTTGATTGATACTATATCATGAACACAATTTTTCTCAACATAAAGTTAATATATGTGCATACTAAACCTCTTTAGTCGTGTCCAACTCTTTGAGAACCTATGTACTGGAGCTTCCAGCCTCCTCTGTCCAAGGGATTACTCGAGTGGGTTGCTGTGCCCTCCTCCAAGGGATCTTCCTGACCCGTGGGTTGAACTCAAGTCTCTTTACATCCCCCACAATGGAGGTGTGTTCTTTACCACTAGCACCACAATATAACACCAGGCAAATGCATTCAGACAATATGGTTTTCTATGATTAAGAACAAGATGTCAGCATACAAATTCATCATTTAGGGAGCTCTATAAAGTAATAAATTCAGTTAAAAACAGAGTAAATGAGATATAAACTTGTAAAACTGTGAAACAAAATCAAGCCAGGTGAAAAGTATCTTTTAATTTTTCTCAAGAAAAATAAGGTTTTTGTTGAAATGTTTCAAATTCATTGTGGTACACTGAATTGATTACATTCAAGAATTGTATTGACAGCCTGTAACTTTTTCTTCGACATTAACTTATTTTCCATGCCTTATAACATGCAAATACATGTATCAATTTGCAGAGAAAGAGTAAATGTAAGTTATTTTTGCTGTTTATTCATATGTTAGATTAACTTTATCAACCCATATATTAAAATGTAATCATTTCATTGTCAGGAGCCTAAAGCTAATGTTAATTACAGTTTGAAACTTTGATTATTAATGCATCTTTACCTACTGAAGTGTGAAATAAGCAATAGTAGTTGAAATTCACCAATTAAATTAGCTTCTGAGACAAGAATTCATAAGTAGGCATTTGTTCATTATGAACAAATGCTGTAGAATTTCATGTTCTAAGCTATGCTCATGAAATATTAGACCCAAGGAGTGAGAACAATTGTTCAAAAAAAACAAAAACAAAAACCTGCAGTATATGAAATAAACACAACAGGTGTGATAAGCATCCTATATTCTTTATCTTTACATTTCATATGTCACCAGAAAAAAGAATGCATAGGCTCAGTCCATAGAATACAAAAGTTTTTGTTTTATTTTAAATTAATAGGGAAAAGAGAGAGATCTATTTTGTTCACATAGTAATGCCTTAGTCCGTTCAGAATATAACAATTTCATAGACTAGATGGCTTACTAACAACAGAAACATGGCGCTCACAGTTCTGGAGCCTGGGAAATCCAAGATAAAGGAGCCAGGAGATTCAATATCTAGTAAGCCTCTCCTTAGGCTTAGTGGTAGAGAATCTGCCTGCCAATGCATGAGAGGTGGATTCGATCCCTGGGTCTGAGATATTGCGGGAAGAAGAAAATGGCAACCCACTCCACCACAATATTCTTGCCTGGGGAATCCCACTGACAGAGGCGCCTGGCTGGCTACAGTCCATTGGGTCACAAAAGAGTCAGACATGACTTAGCAGACTAAATAACAACAACAGAGACCCAGAGGACTCCACCGACCCTCCTGCTATGGAAAAACATAATGAGAAGAATGGCCACATGAGCCGGGAAGGAGAGGCTTGTGGTGGTGGCTGTTAAGACTGCTAAGTCATGTCTGACTCTTGCAACCCCATGGACTGGAGGCCACTAGGCTTTTCCGTCCGTGGGATTTCCCAGGCAAGAATACTGGAGTGGGTAGCCATTTCCTTCTCCAGGTGATCTTCCTGGCCCAGGAATCGACCGGAGTCTTCTACTCGGCAGGTGTATTATTTACCACTGAGCAACCTGGGAAGTTTGGGTCTCTATTATAAGGGCACTGATCGGGTGAGATGGTTGGATGGCATCACCGACTCAGTGGACATGAGTTTGGGCAAGCTCCGGGGGCTGGTGATGAACAGGGAGGCCTGGCGTCCATGGGGTCGGGAAGAGCTGGACACGACTGAGCGGCTGAACTGAACTGAACTGATCTCATTCATTAATCCCATTCCTGCACTTGCAGGAGTCTCTGCCTCTTGAAAGAGCCAGAGCCCCGGCAGGCAACGCTGAGGCCGGCGAGGCTCCAGAAGGGGTCAGGGGAGGGGAAGCCGTCAAGCCCGCTGAGTCAGCCGCTGCCTGCCTCCCCTCCCGGCTGCGGGCGGGCACCATGCAGGGTGGGGCTGGGGTGGTGTCTAGTGGTGTCAGCGCTGGGGTCACCTCTTCAGGGAGTTGGACAGTAACCAGGATGGTCATGTGGACATCCGTGAGTTGCGCCAGGGACTGGCCCCGCTGGGCGGGGGCGACCCGGACCGCGACGCCCAACAGGGCATCTTCCCTGAGGGTGATGCTGTCCCAGATGGCGGCCTTGACCTGGAGGAGTTTATCCTCTACCTGCAGGAGCAGGAGCGGCGCCTCCTACTCCTGTTCCACGGTCTGGACCGCGATCAGCATGGTCAGATCGACGTCTCTGAGATCCAGCAGAGTTTCCGAGCCCTGGGCACTTTCATCTAGCTGGAGCAGGCAGAGAAAATCCTGCACAGCATAGACGCATGATAGTACCATGGCCATTGACTGGCAGGAGTGGCGTGACAGCTTCTTGTTGCATTCGCTGGACAACATGGAAGCCGTGCTGTATTTCTGGAAGCATTCCACGGTCCTGGATATTGGCGAGTGCCTGACCATCCCGGATGAGTTCTCGGAGCAGGAGAAGCTGACTAGCATGTGGTGGAAGCAGTTGGTGGCGGGCGCCGTGGCGGGTGCCATGTCCCGGAGAGGCAGAGCCCCTCTGGACGGCCTCAAGGTCTGCATGCAGATCCACACCTCCAAGCCCAACTGGCTGAACATCCTGGGGGGCCTCCGGAAGGAGCATGATCCAAGAGCCGCGCGTGCGCTCCCTGTGGCGTGGCAATGGGATTAATGTGCTCAAGATTGCACCTGAGTCGGCCGTCAAGTTCATGGGCTGACAGCAAGCCGGCCGTTCAGTGCACGCGCAGGGGCGCTTTGTGCCTGGCTCCCTGGCGGTGCCGCATCCCAAACCATCATCCACCTCATGGCGGTGCTGAAGACGCGGCTGACCCTCCGCCGGAAGGGCCAGCCAAAGAGGCTGCGGGACTGTGCGCAGCAGATCCTGGAGTGAGAAGAGCCCCGCGCCTTCGACACTGACTACCTGCCCAAGGTTCTGGACATCATCCCTACGCGGGCGTCGACCTGGCAATCCAGGAGGAGGCCCGTGTTTGATCCCCGGATCAGGAAGATCGCTTGGACAAGGAAATAGCAACCCACTGCAGTATTCTCGCCTGGAGAATTCCAGGGACAGAGGAGCCTCTCAGGCTATAGTCCACAGGGTCACAAAGAGTCGGACACAACTGAGCGACTAACACACACACACAGTTCCATTCATGAGGACTCTGTCCTCATGATCTAATCACTTCCCAGAGCTTCCACTCCTATTACCTTCATATTAAGAATTAGGATTTCAAATACAAATTTTTGGCCAGAAAGATTCAGCTTATAGCACACAATATACTCAGTATCATCTTATGCTTTGGCAATAACTTGTCTCAATTTTTAAAATTTATATATATTATATATATGTATATATAATATATATATATATATATTCATGTAAGAATTGCATCATTCATCTGACTCTTTATATGATTTTTCAGGTAAAGCCTTGCTTCCTACTTGCTCAGTCAGTTCAGTTGCTCAGTCTTGTCCGAGTTTTTGCCACCCCATGGACTGCAGCATTCCAGGCTTCCCTGTCCATCACCAACTCCCAGAGTTTTCTCAAACCCATGTCCATCGAGTGGGTGAGGCCATCCAACCATCGCATCCTCTGTCGTCCCCTTCTTCTCCTGTCTTCAATCTTCCCAGCATCAGGGTCTTTTCCAGTGAGTCTGTTCTTCTCATCAGGTGGCCAAAGTATTGGAGTTTCAGCTTCAGCATCAGTCCTTCCAATTAATATTCAGGACTGTTTTCTTTAGGATTGACTGGTTTGCTCTCCTTGCAGTCCAAGGAACTCTCAAGAGTCTCTTCCAACACCACAGTTGAAAAGCATCAATTCTTTCACGCTCAGCTTTCTTATGGTCCAGCTCTCATATTGATACGTGACTACTGGAAGAACCATAGCTTTGACTAGATGGACCTGTGTTGGCAAAATAATCTCTCTGCTTTTTAACATGCTGTCTACATTGGTCATAGCTTTTCTTCCAAGCTAATTGGTTATTTATGCTTCTCTGGTGCCACATGCATAACAAATAGTTTAATTCTTATGAAGGATGATTCTCATAATTATTACAAGTGTATTACTATGCACTATATCACAATATCCCTCAGAGTGATCTTTTTATATATGTACAGTTTGTATGATTATTTTATAGGTAAGGATCCAGGACCACAGAAAGATTAAGTAACTGATCTAAGATGCCATGATTTGGAAGGACCACTCCAAACTCTATAAAGTGTTTTCTAAGATTTTGTTCCTAATGAAATTTTAAACACAGAACATGATAGAGATTGATGGACTCCTATGTACAACTACCAAGATTTCACACTTTCATAATTTTCTAATGCTTTTTAATGAGTGAGAGTATTACAAATGAAGTTAAAGTCCTCTTTGAACTACTCCATAATCGTATTACCCTAGGATTAACTTCTATGAATAATTTGTTTTTTATAATTCTGATGCCATTATTTTATACTTTATCAAGGAATGCTTATATATTTTTCTGTTCTAAAACTTGATGTAAATATTATCATGCTCTACTACAACAGCATTGGAAAACTTTCTTTGTCATTTATTTTTTTCTGTATTTAGATATATTTAATACATATTTTTAGCTTATTTTCTCAGCATTCTCATTAATATATCATGGACTATAGTTGAGGAGATCTTATTAGAAAGCTTCTATGTATGTACTTATGCATATTTTTTACTTGATTTCTGAAGTTATATTTTATCAGAGATTCTTGTCCCTCAGTTCTGGAAAATTCTCTGCCCTAAGATTTATGTCTATGCATGTATGTATTTTATCTACATATCTATTCCTGTTACTTTGAATTTCTTTGAAATACCTTACAGCTCATAGTTTGGACTTTTTTACCTTTCTTCTATTCTGTTTGCAATTTAAGAATAAAAATATTCCAAAGAGTAAAATCTGTAATTTTACCACTATATATCTCTTAACTTCTACTTTCTGTCTTGGCCCAAAACAGATGAAGACAGGGCGAGGATACTCTTGCCGTATTTTTAGTATTTTGGTGAGTTATTAGCAATTCATTTAAAGAAGAAATAAATGCTGAAAAACCTTTCCAAATCAATCACGTATTCTGACATAATTTCAGATATAGTCATACATACTCACTGATGCATATATATATGTGTGTGTGTGTGTAGATATATGTATATATATGTCATTTCTGTATATTTAGACTATTGAGGCATATTAAAATTATACAAAAATTATGAGATATGCATGTAAGAATATATTAACATATTTATATATTTGGAGAGAGAGAAAATGGTATATAGCTACACATCATACATATATATGACAGTGGAAATAAAAATTAACCACTTGATTTCTACAAAATTTTTCTCAACAACAGAAGTACCATTGTTCAATAATACATCTTTAGTAAGTATATTTATTATAAGGATATGGCATTATGGATATATTAGTCTGAATAGCTATAAAAAATGAGCAGACTAATAAACTATTTTCTGTGAGAATGAAACTTTGGAACTTGACAGTGAAGTATATTCTGTTAAAAATAGTGATAAGTATATATCAGTAGATAGCAAGTAATAGAAAAAAAATGGCTGACAATAATTTCATTGAGAAAAGGACTAGTACCATTATGTTGTATATATATGTTCCTTATTCCCGGCAATTTTTTTCCAGTCTCATTTTATTCAATTGAGGTGGGATATGTAAGATGAGTAGATGTCAATACAGATTGCACAGATTATTTCAAGATTTCCAATCTTTATTATTTTTTTAACATTAAAAAAATAAATTTATCTGAGGTCTGAAATACTGAAGAACAAGCTTAATCCAACCTTTAAATATACATTGGTGATTTTAAAAAATCAGTTCAGTTAATTCATTCAGTTGTGTTTGACTCTTTGCAACCCCATGGACTGCAGCACACCAGGTTTCCTGGTATATCACCAACTTCCAGAGCTTGCTTATATTCATGTCCATCGAGTCGGTGATACCATCCAACCACCCCATCCTCTGTTGTCTCCTTCTCCTCTTGCCTTCAATCTTTCCTAGCATCAGGGTCTTTTCTAATGACTCAGTTCTTCATATTGGGAGGCCAAAATATTGGAGCTCCAGCTTCAGCATCAGTCCTTCCAGTGAAAATTCAGAACTGATTTCCTTTGTTGGTTTGAACTGCTTGTAGTCCAAGGTACTCTCAAGAGTCTTCTCCAACACCACAGTTCAAAATCATCAATTATTTGGCACTCAGCTTTCTTTATGGTCCAACTCTCACATACATACTGACTACTGGAAAAACTATAGCTTTGGCTAGATGGACCTTTGTTGCCAAAGGAATTTCTCTACCTATTTTTTTAAATTTATTCTAATTGGAGGCTAATTAATTTACAATATTGTGGTGGTTTTTGCCATACGTTGACATGAATCAGCCATGGGTGTACATGTGACCCCATCCTGAACCCCCCTCCCACCTCCCTCCCTACCCTATTCCTCAGGGTCATCCCAGTGTACCATCCCTGAGCACTCTGTCTCATGCATTGAACCTGGACTGGTGATCTGTTTCACATATGATAATATACATGTTTCAATGCTATTCTCTCAGATCATCCCACCCTCACCTTCTCCTACAGAGTCCAAAATTCTGTTCTTTACATCTGTGTCTCTTTTGCTGTCTCGCATATAGGGTCATCATTACCATCCTTCTAAATTCCATATATATATGCATTAATATACTGTATTGATGTTTTTCTTTCTGACTTACTTCACTCTGTATAATAGGCTCCAGTATCATCCACCTCATTAGAACTGATTAGGAAAAATTCAAATGCATTCTTAATATGTTGTCTAGGTTGGTCATAGCTTTTCTTCCAAGGAGCAAGCGTCTTTTAATTTCACCACAGCAGTCACCATCTGCAGTGATTTTGGACCCCAAGAAAATAAAGCCTTTCATTGTTTCCATTTTTTCCCCATCTATTTGCCATGAAGTGATTGAATTGGATGCCATGATCTCCATTTTTTGAATGATAAGTCTTAGGTCAGCTTTTTCACTCTCCTATTTTACTTTCATCAAGAGGCTCTTTAGTTCCTCTTCATTTTCTGCCATAAGGGTGGTGTCATTTGCATATCTGAGGTTATTGACATTTCTCCCAGCAATCTTGATTCCAGCTTGTGCTTCATCTAGCCTGGCATTTCTCATGATGTACTCTGCATATAAGTCAAATAAGCAGGGTGACAACATAACAGCCTTGACGTACTCTTTTCTAAATTTGGAACCAGTCCGTTGTT